CCTTTCATGTTGGAACAAAAAAGTATTTTTCAATGAATGAAATATAATGAATTTATGCCCTTCAAATCTCCATTTTGCTTTTGTTTCTCTCTCTGCAAAGTTCTTTTGCATTGGGAATGACCACACATTTAATTTACTTCCCCACAGTCCCTTGAATAGGATATCAGCATACATATGTGGTGAGCTTCCATACCCACTGCCTGATCATCATGCAGTCCAACTAGGTCAACAAAGTATCATCATCCTAGTACTGTAGAACTAGAGTTGCAAGTGACTAATGACCCTCAAGGCCATCTAGTCCCACCCCCCTCACTTTTTTGGGGTAGCTAGGTGGATCAGTGTATAGAGTATAGGGCCTGGAGTCAAGAAGGCCTCAGTTCGAATCCAGCCTCAGATACCTACTAGCTATATGGTTCTGGGCAAGTCATTTAATCCCTATTTGCCTCAATTTCCTCATCTGTAAAACGGGGATAATAGAAGTACCTACATTGCAGGGCTTTCGTGAATGAGATAATAATTATAAAGTGCCAACATATAGAAAGCCCTATATAAATGTTAGTTATTATTATTCTCTATAAATTGAAGGGTCATTGGACCACATGAAATCTTACTTCTAACTCCAATGCCCTCTGATTTCATAATAAAAACACTTAAACATGTTTTAAAGTTCATACCTATGTGCAAAAGAGAAAGAGTCAAGCTGGGAATTACAGTACCAGAAATTTGTGTTCTTATTATTTTTAGTCAATATAACTAAATAGAATTCTGAAAAGCCTTTAAAAATGGGAAGTTTTAAGCTCATTGACTTCTCATTAATATAACCTCTTTTTGATCATTTCATTCTCCCTCTACGTTTATAAAATAGGATGGTCTAGTATTGCTTCACTGAGCAGAAAGTATGGCAGAGATGGGTTATTCAAGTCATCCACAATCAAGCAGAGAGGGAGTTTGAAGCAAACATGAAACTATAATTTTAAGCTTCTTACTGCCAGTCCAGTGGTAAAAACATTAAGCAATCCCAGTTGTAATTACTTATGGCACTTAGAGCTATGAGGCCATCCAGACTACTTTATTAGGAGTATTATGATCTCTTTGCGGGATTTCTCGCAGCACTTTTGTTTAAGTGATTTCCTTTTTGGAATAGTTACATTAGACGAGGTTAATTTTATTTAGGGAAATATAACCCTTCATTTGAGGGGAGGGTTGCACCTTTATGGAGTGGAGAGGAGGGGAAGCAGGTTGCTCTTAAGCTTCATCAATATCATCAAAGAAACAAGGAGCAGATAACAGAGGTAAGAAAGTGCTAATGTGGTAAACAAGCACAAAGACTTGTCTGTGCTCTATTATCCGTTTATGAAGTGTGAAAGGGCTTCCTTCATGAAACTGGAAGGGCAACCTGTCATTGGCCTTTAAAAAGCTAAACTTGAAGCAGTTTCACAGAATATGACCCACTATGTCTTTATCAAAGGTCGAATAGGGTAGGGAGAGATTACTAGTACTCTGCTGGTCAGGGCATCTTGGCAAGACAAACTGAATCCAGCTGAGAGCAGACAGAGACAGAGACAGAGAGAGAGTCAGTCAGAGAGAGAAAGATGGAGAAAGATTCAGGAAAGGGAGAAACCTCAGCAGCAAACCTCAGCAGAAAACCTTGCAGCAAAGAAAAGAGTCAACTGTGGATTCCAGAAAGAATTATCCCTGGCAGATGGAAATCAAACTGAGAAGTGCAGATCTAGGGAGCTAAGCTGAGAAATCCATGTAGAATAGATGCTATGCTAGGAGAAGGAGCATGACAAGACCAAGAGAAGAGCAAGGAAATCAAGGCTCTGGAGTAACAGAGGCCTTGGCCAGCTGTGTTCCCTACATGTGTACCTCATTACCAGTGTACTCTAAGTTTTGCTCACTCTTCCCATTGATATTGTACATATTTATGGGAAGGTATGCTATAGATTTTTGGGGGGAGGGAGGAAAGACATTTTGTAGCTACCATTCTTACTCTGTAATCTCAGGAAATGCTTTTATTTTGAGCTAACTATGTCTCCTGGGTGGCAATTAAGGGAAGCCAGGTAAGGGCTAGTGAGCTATAATTTTAGGAGGGCAGGCCCACAGAATAACTTTGAAATCAAAGGGAAATACCATTTTCTAGGGAATACCCACATACAAAGGCAGGTTGAGGCAGGAGGCTGTGGGTGGGGTGGGGGTGTGTGCTACATTTTTATATACATATATGTATGTACACACACATATATATGTATTTAGCTGAAAAATACTTAAACTGTAAAGGATGTTAGGGTAGCTGTCTTATCTGTTAGCCTCAAAGAAGAAATTCAGGCATACAAAAAGGGAAGGGTGAAGGTTAGAGTAAACTAATCAAATATCAAAATTTGGACTAATGAAGCAAATTTAAACATTTAATATGCATGCAAAGAAATGTGAATCTCATTATTATGCAAAATACCTGATATTTGCCTAGCATTTTACAGTTTACAAAGCACTTATACCTCACAATAACAATATGAAGAAGGTAGGGCAAACAGCATAAAGAACTTGAAGTTCATACAAACTCAATGACCTACCCAAGGTCATGTGGCCAACAAATTATAGTGTTTTTAGCTGAAAGGGATCATCTGCTACCATTAGTCCTACTCACTCATTTTATAGATGAGGAAACCAGTCATGCAGTTGGGAATAGAAGCTAAGTTCTCTTACTCTTATTTTTGGGCTCATTTCACCCTATGATTCTATGGCAATGGCAGATTGGGTTTGAACTATGGGGGTAAGTAAGGGTCAGTCTAGGAGTGGAACGGGAATGACTGTCAAGGTAGGATGTGGAGACCTGTTTCATAGTCCTGCCTTTGCCACCAATTAGTTATGTAATCAGATATATAAAGTAAGGGAACAGGATGTGAGAGGGTCGTGGAATATCAAAACTATGTTGCCTTAAAAAAAAAAAACTAACATAGTAAACATAACCACAATTTATCAAGTTATCAATTTTCCGGGTTCAAGAGACAAAACTATTTTTATGTCCTAAGAACTCCTAATGAAGACAGCAGCCATCTGTTATATAAAAATAATGGTTGAAACAGAAGCATTAACACAAGAACAATCTACTAATTTTCTGAGAATTAATGGTTATTAGCCGGTTGATGGACTAATGATCTTACTTAGAGGCAGACAGGGTGCACAGTGGATAGAATGTTGGGCCTTGAGTTAGGGAGACGAGTTCAAATCTATCCTTGGATACTAGCTGAGTGATCCAGGGCAAGTCACTTAAGTCTGCCTCGATTTCCTTAACTGTAAAATGGGGATAATAATAGCACTTACTTCACAGAATTGCTATAAAGATCAAATGATCTTGAGACCATGACCCAGACCCTTTATTTTGTCCTCAACCCTTTCTCTATAGTAAGGTACCAAAATTATAACAGTGCCAGCCAGCCATTAGTGTGAACAACTAAGGAATCATGGGATGCAAACTATAAATATGCAACTAAGATACTACAAGGATCTGTAATCTCACTGGTAAGGGTACTATGTCCACCAAAATCTCTTTACTACTTAGTAATCACTTCTCTGAGTTCATATGGCTGAAAGACTCATCATCCTATGGCTAATGATGACTGAAATGAAACTCTTGTGATAAACTTCTCTGAATTCAGCCAGTCTGGCCTTTGGACAAACTATCTCCAAACTCTAAATCCAAGTCTTTCAAATTGGATAGAACCTGCCAGTGCTTGCATTCAGAGGAACTAACATCACCATAGTGCCCCTAGATGCCTTTACTGATAGGTTACCACGAGGCCAAACTAGTTCCCTCAATTCTGATACTTAAAGATATCATTTTCTTATGGACTTTAGGTACATCTCCCTAAATTCAAAGTTGAAACTTCACTAGTTCATAAGCATTTGACATGCACTAGCTAGGCAAACCCTGGGCTCTATGATTCATACCTTTTCAATTCATCTCTCTCCTAGCTCCCAAGGTCTGGATTAAATCCACAAACAATCGCTACCTCAGCCTCTTTTGCCCTGACTTTCTAGACTTCTCACTAATTCTATGTTAATTCCTTCTCTGGACCTATTTCAAATATTTTGCCCTAAATACCAACTGTCTCTTGCTCTGTTTGATATGCTCAGGTTGGGTTGAGGAGAAATCTATGAGGCTAAAAGAGAATTGGGTTTCAAGAGGAATCTTTTCTATCAACACAGTTGGTCTCTGTAGGGGTGGGCAGGACTGATAATGAAGATGAAGTCTTAGCAGATTTGAGGAGCCAAATAAAGTTGTCATGGAAAGCATGATCTGAAAACTATTCAAAAGCTAATACAAATACATATATCTACCCATATATAATGCATATATATATATGTATAAATATATCTACAGTATATATCAACAGTAGAATTCCTGTGAGATCTTCAAATGCTGAATTGAAAGGCAGTCAAAAGCACAATTAAGTTGTGAACATATATTAGAATAGAGTCAACAAAATACATAAAGCATTAGTATATTATAATGAAAACAAATTTCTAAGAAATATTTAGTAATAATTCCTTGGCTTTGTCTTCATATAAAAATAGTAGGACATTCAAATTAGATCAGAATAGGTATGAGATTCAAATTATTTTTTTCCTGTAAGTAAATCCATCAAAATAAATGAGCTCAAACTTTACTTGATGTTATAAACATAACATTATACTATTTTAACTTAGAAGCATAATACGGAGAGAAATAAACTAAGAAGTGGCAGGAAAAGCAGATTTATAAAAAAAAGGAGAAAAACAGGAAGGAGGACAAGGATGATAATTGATTGACTTGGAAGAGAAGAAAAATTAGAGAGAGAAGAGAAGTACTTACCTCTGATTTCCTTATTGAATAAGAGGAGAGAGAAGAAACAAAAGAAATAGGGTAGAGAAACACCAATCACATTGGCTTTGAAGTGAAGTATACAGAAAGATAAAAACCAAACAGCATACAATATTAAATCACTTGAAAAGGATATGAATGTACCAAAATCTTAATAGCTATTTTTCTAATAGGGTTGAAAGGAGTTAAAATATACAGGGCAGATGTGGCACTGAATCGGAAGATTGCTTTCCCCTTATTCAATACTATAAAAGTCTGGAAAAAAAAAACACATGTAAAATGGAATTCAGAACATACAGTAATGAGATTTAAAACACAGTCTGCTTTACTTTTTCCTCAGCACTAATTAGTGTACTTAATTAACTAGACTAAGCATTGAGAGGGGGAAAAAGTAAGTTATCTGGAAATGTGCTGCTTTCAATATTATTCCATTCAATCCCAATATAATACATTAATGTACTAACTCTGATCCTATAATATAATTATTTTAACATGTATTTATGTTGCCAAGGTGACTCTATATGCTTCTCCTTTACTTGGTAAGTGCAATAAGGAAAATTAATATGACTTAAAATTATTAAAGTCAAAAAGTAACTGGGAGTAAAGAAAATTTACATTTTTTATGATCTTTAAAAGAAGAAATTGTCAATTTCATTCATCATTCAGGTGAGTACTAAGATGCAGTTTTAATCATATCTTTAATAAAACCAAAAATTTTTCATGATGACCTTTAGCATTTCCCAAGTATGTTCCTTCTTATCTCTAAATTCTATTCTAGCACTTTTCCCTCAGTTTTAAAGAGCTTTGTTGCTTTTTTTTATTTAGATAGTAAGTAGAAAGAAAAAAAGATTTTTAAAGAATTAAATTTGCTGAATATTAAGGTATTAGTGGTAAAGATACCTTGTGTAGCAAGATATTTTGAAATTTATAAATGGCAGTATCATGGAATTCTCTTAGTTTCTTAAGAAGTTGAATCTATTCAATGTTTGTTTCACTAGGCAAAAATTTCCTCCTATTGGCTCTGAATTTCCTTAATACTTGGTAAAATATTAGTCCCACTCAGTGTAAAACTAGAATTCAAGATGGCAAACAATTATTTGCCTGGAACCTTGCTTCTCCATTCCCAGGTGCCTATTCATTTTGAGGCAATGGCATGCTCTCTGATATTTTTAAATGTATATACAACACATTTTAAATTTAATATAAATCATCAATGTTTTCTTCATTACTTTCTTTAGTCTAAGTAATCAACCAAACAATAAATCATGCCCTAATTTGTAACATTTGCCAATTTCTAAGGTGTAAATGCTCACGCTGAAAATTTAATAATTGGCTCTCTTGAACTGGTATGAGCTGGTACCAGCACAGCCCTGATTCTAGGTCAGTTTCAGGGATGCAGTTTCAACTTAAGCCATCCAAAATACTCCAGAGATAGTAGGTTTAGTTCATGATTGGGTTCACATGGCATCCTAGTGATGTTTTATATATGTCATTATAGGGTTTTAGCCTCATCGTGGATGGAACTCAACTTGGAGCAATCTTGCAACTTCACTCTGAGTTTAATAGTAAAGGAAATTGTACTAAGAACTCACTTTTTTATTGATATAATATGGATCCAGGTCCTCCAAGGGCTCTGACACCATTCCGGGTGGAATGTCTCCATAAATAAATGGGAGGGATTTTCCTGCTTCCAAATCACTATTTGCTTTGGGGGCATTTTCATCATCCTCATCCTTTCGTCCTTGTTTGGGTTTTGTAGCTTTTTCTTCTGCAATGCGTTGTTCAATAGCAGCAAGGGATTCCCTGGTGAAGTAGCGAAAGCTGTCAGGTCCTGGTGGTACCAGCACTGATTGTGCCATCTTTTCATCCTGCACCTTTTAATTACCGTTTAGCTTCTTGCATAAGAAAGTGCTATGGAAACATGAGAGGACAAAAAAGCAATGAGTATTAAGATAAAGGACAAACACAATATTAAAGTGTTACTTAAAACGTTTATATGAGGAGCAGAGACAAAATATGTAAACCAAGATATGTAGCTATATCAATATCTATATATAAACATAGAAAATTGAAAGCAATATTTGGCATTCAGGGAATGGCAATTTAAAGGTTTTCTTTTTCCTCCACATGTAGGTGGGTCTTTCATCAATACATGATATTATGTGATAGGTGACAATGAGTTAACAGACCTTCCCATGTCCAAAACAAAATTTTAAGTAACTGCTACTTGAAAAAATACATGTAATCTAGAGCTCTGAAATGGATATTTGATGGTTTCTGCTTGCTGTTCTACTTGTGTGAGTATTTTTGGCAGCCATCTTTTAGCAGACTGTCTGAAACAATTGGAAAACAGAGTGGGAGGGAGAGATGGAGAAGAGAGAGTGTGTCACATTGAATTTTATAAAAAGGAAACTCAAAGGGTTTCCAAAGATCTCCCCACCCTGTTCTCTCTTCTCTTTGCCCACTTGTACCTCCAAAAGCCTTAAAATGAATCAGTGCACCTGGTAGAGAGGACTGGAAACACAGGTAAAAGCTTGCCTGGGTACCTGCCTATGTTGCTTGCAAGCAAATTATGGGGAGGTGCAGGGGATGCCCTACCTTTTTGTAGAACTGCTCAGGAAGCTCTACAGGCAGGGTCATGGCTCCTGCCAAACTGAATAGGAAGTCATTTACATCAGGGCATCTGTAGCTGGACCTCCTGACTTAGCAACCTGCTGCTGGCTAACATGATTGCTTTGGAAGTTAATCATTACACAACAGTCTAGGAAACTGTTAGGAATATTTCATTTTCTTAAAATGCACCCATTTTGCAATAAGTAAAAATACTAGCTAAGTAGCTTCTATTTCAGGATTTTGATTTGGTTAAAAAAATTGAAGCTAAAGATACAGGAGGAAAAAAAAAGAAAACCAATCCTTCATCCCTTACAGGAGACTGCCACGTCATAGATTCAGTTACACAGAGGTTCTGATCATACCCTCCTGGTGCATAATATAATACTGTGTGGTACAGCTCTCATCAAAAGATGGAAATCTATCACCAAAACGCTATGCTTGAAAAAGCATTATCAAGAGAATCTACTGTATTTAGAACTGAAGAACAAATCAAATCTTAACTCCTGAATGCAACCTTTAAGAGTTGTCACCTGTTTTTCCTTCCTCCAAATACCTTTTAAACCCCACATCACAACATCTAAATAGATGAGATAGATTATTTGATGGCAATGTGAAATAATCATCATTTCATTCTTACAGAGTGGGCCAGATAAGCTACATGAATAGAATACAGGGCTGTTTCCACAGTACTTTCCTCTGAAGTATACCCATCGGACTTCTCTGGGAGCAGAGCAGCTGCAATGAGTACATGTTATCAGAGAGCCTTCTGAACAAACTGATGCCTCCATAGTCTCATTAATCTTCCTCCTTCATCTCCCCAAACAGGCACATGCCTACCTGTATATAGGTATAGGTGTATGCAAATATATAAAACTATATACACCTATATTATATGTAAATAATATATATGATCTATATGTACGAAAATGGTCCCTGCACGCCCAATGGACATATCTGAAAACATCCTAACGTCATATTCTTGGATGCTCTAATAACACATGATTTTTTTAAAATGAAATCTAGCAACCACAAAAGGGTTAATTATGAAAATGAAAGTGGTCCCACTGCAGAATCTCTATGGATTTGACTGTTGTCTAGAGCAGAATCATAGAAAACAAGTAGAGAAATAATATTAAAAAGCATTATTACCCCCTGAAGAATCTTTCATCCAATGATTTTGGCATTGGTAGGCTCACACCAAAAAGACTGCAGCTAAAATTCCATCATGCTTTATTTAAAAAAAAATTAGGGGGGTGGTGGTGGTGTAACTCTCCTTAGAAAGACCACACCTAACTTCCTGTAAAAGGATTCTGGTTATTGAAGGAAAAACAGGCATTTCCTGTGAGGGACTACAAGATGATGTTATTATATCTACCACAAGAGGGCACAGAGCTATGATCAATGTTGCTTTGCTTTTCAACACTTTGTACAGACAGAAACATAAAGGTCAGATATTAAATTTGGCATTACCTATCAATGAATAACACTGCTCATACCTAGACAGCCAGCAAACATAAAAATGCAAATCAAAAGGGTAAAGGGCATCTGCCAGAGGAATCAAAACATTTATAAACTAGTTTAAATTCATGAAAATCACAAGAAATATTACATTTGCTGTGGCCTAATTCACATTTGTTCTTTGCTAATTTATCTAATATGTTATTAATGGCCATTCTCATGACTGTTCAATACATTTTTACATTTTGCCTATTAACATTGCAGTTTTTCCCTGGCTTGAAACACTTAAAATGCCAGATACAACCAAAAGGTAGTTAGAAAAGCCAGTGATAGCTGTGGTTACCATGTAATCATGTGACTGTGTCAACTGTGAGAACAAGAATTTACTCATATAATGAGGACTGAAAATCAGGTTCAAATGAGAATTGGACTTCAGATCCAATAAATATCAGAAAACAACTCTAAAAAAAAAGAAATGTAACATTCCATCCACTTGCTATTCTCCCTGCTTTTCATGACAATTTATGTTTATAAAAAGTTGGGATGCAGGAGATGTACTATGGACAGGAATACTAGTTTCATTCTGGTCTTATTAATAATGCTGAAACATCTAGAAAGAATTATCTTCAATCATGGAGCATCTACCTTAAAAATAAACCTCTTTCAAAATTCTGCAAGATATTTAAGCTAGCCCCCTCCTAAACCATAAGTCTAATATCAGGCTATCTAAACATTTTACCCTTCACCTTTCAAATGCTCAGTTTCTTCATCAGTAAAATGGAAGTTTTCTGTCCCAGAATCCAGAGGAGTCTAGGCAACACAATTTGCTTATACAAAACTCTTAACTTATTAAAAAAAAAACACAGAGAAACCAATAGGTGATTATATACTTTGCAAAAATATCCTTGCTGTACAAAATAATTTACCATAGTTTTATTATTGTTTATGTTTTTTAAATAGTGTAGTACAAGTGATTAAATTTACATTCAACTTTTCTCAAACATATCCACTGTACAAAGTAACACACATCCTAATCTCTTAGATAATACCTTAAATATATGCATATGTACACATATATTTATATGTGTACATACATATGTATGTATTTGTGTATGTGTACATATATATCACAAGAATAAAGGATAGCAGCAGCTAGGTGGCACAGTGGATAGAGCACCAGCCCTGGAGTCAGGAGGATCTAAGTTCAAATCCTGCCACAGACATTTGACACTTACTAGCTTTGTGACTCTGGACAAGTCACTTAACCCCAACTACCTCAACAAAAAACTCCCAAAAAACAAACAAAAAGAATAAAGGATAGCTGATGGATATCCTGCCTACACTGGTATTCATACAACGTCTAGAAAACACAATGAAGGCCTTCTACCTAGCCAATTGGGTGGATCACTTAAGGCAAATGTATGGAAGGATGTAAATAAGAGTTCCACAAGATATGTATGATGGACTGCAAAGTACACATGTGTGAGACCATAATTCCAGTGAAATGGCACTTAATCGATAAGTATTTATTAAGCACTTATTATATACCAGGTTTTACACTAAACATTGGAGATTTATCAATTAATAAATCAATCAGTAAACCTCTATTAAGTGCCTATCATGTGCCAGTCATTGTGTTAAATGCTGGGGATATAAAAGGAGAAAAAGACAGTCTCTGTGATGAGGTTTGGAGATGCTGGGACCTCGAGAATACCAAGGCAGAGTTGCCTGGAATGAATTCACACTCAAGCCTTCTCGTAGTCAAGTGGCAAAAAGTTTATTATCATGCTTTAGCAAAATCAGGCAAGGGTCCTTAGTGAATCTGCAAAAGAGTGAGGATGGTGCTGGGGCTTATATGGAAAAGGGACAGGGGAAAGGAATGCCAGGGATGCTAATTAGGTAATCTAGGGCTCCAGGTGTCTTTGGGAGCTATGGAGGGGGAAATGTAGGGAGTCTGCAGAGATCATTTTGTTGATACCAGACACTGAAGGGAGTTGTCAGAGGCATGGACCTTGGAGATCTGGCACAAGGGACAGTCCTTGGGACAAAAATTCTTGGGCCAGGCACCCCCTGTCCGGATAAGAGAATGTGTTCTGCAACAAGATAAAATTTTCTCACAGGACAAGGGCCTACTGAGAAATTGGGAAGCTTCCAGAGACATGATCTTAGGGCTGGGGACCAAGCATCCCATCACCTGCATTCAAGGGGCTTATACTCTAATGGGGGAGACAACCCACAAACAAATATATGCAAAGTAAGCTATACAGTACAAAAGGAAATAATTAACAGCAAGAAGGCACTAGAACTAAGAGGGGTTGGGAAAGGCCTCCTGAAAAAGATTTGATTTTTGTCGTGACTTAAAAGGAAGCCCTGGAGGTCAATAGTTGGAGCAGAGGATAGAGAGCATTCCAAGAACAGGGAACAGCCAGAGAAAATACCTGGAAACAAGAGATGGAACTGTATGTTCCTGAAACAACCAGGAGGCCATTGAGATCAAAGAGTATGCGTTGGGGAGTAAGGTATAAGAAGACTGGAAAGGTAGGAGGAAGCTGGGTTATGAAGGGCTTTAAATGTCAAATAGCATTTTGTAGTTGACCCTGGAAGTAATGTATATTACTTCTGAACCCTAAAGATTCAACTAAGATAAAACAACCAAAATAAAACAAAGTAGAAGGATATGAAACCCATAAGCTTTTCTGTATATTATCTATAAAGGCCAGCAGGAAGTGATAAAAAGAAATTTTTCATTCAAAATAATGAAATAATATATAAAATATTTAGGAGTCTACCTACCAACACACACACAGGAACTCTATGACCATTGCTACAAAAACTCTGTGGAAATACAGATCTAAATTATTGCAGAAATATTATTCATGGTTAGGGTATGATATTATAATAAAAATGACTATGTCAATTAAATTTATTTATTCAGTGAGGTACCAATGAAACTACTAAAGCATCGCTTTATAGAGCTAGGAAAAATAAAAAATCATAAGGAACAAAGGTCAAAAATCTCAAGGGAGATCATAAAAAAAGTGAAATGGAAGGGGGCACAGTAGCAGCAGACATCAAACTATACTACAAAACAGTAATCAAAACTATTTGATGCTGATTAATAAATAGAAAAGTTGATCAGTGGAATAGATTAGGAACACAACAAGTGGATGAATCTAGTAGAATAATGTTTGATAAACCCAAATATCCTAGCTACTGGGTTGAATATAATTTTCTTTCTTTTCTTTTTTTCCCTTAGGCAATCAAGGTTAAGTGACTTGCTCAAGGTCACACAGCTAGTAAGTGTCAAGTGTCTGACACAGGATTTGAACTCAGGTCCTCCTGACTCCAAGGCCTGACCTCTGTCGCCTGCACCACCTAGCTGACCCTGGTTGAATATAATTTAAAAATATTCTGTCCCTTCCACTAATCCTCCTCTAACCAAAACAAAAAAAAGGGCAAAAACAAACAAACAAAAAAACTCCATAGCTGCTTACTCAGGCAAAACAAATTCCCACATTAGCCACATCTGAAAATATATGTCTCTCTTTATTTTAAGGTCATCACACCTGTCAGGAAAGGAGTAGAGCCTTTTACCTTCATCCTGATCAATGCAATGATAACAGACCAAAGCTTTTCCTATAAAGTTATTTTATAATTGTTCTTCTTCTGCTCACTTGGGTCTGCATCAGTTCATAAAGGTCTTCCTAGTTTTTTCTGAAATTATCCATTTCATCCAGCAAACAGGTGTAAAGATTCAGGCAACTGCTGTATGCCACTATAGTATTTTCTTCTTTATTCCTGGGAGGTAGTGCTCTTCAATGGGGACCTTCTCTCTCTACCCTCCCTCCACTTTCCAGCTTCCTTTTATGTATTATATCTTATGTGTTATCTTCCTACTTTATCATAAGTTCCTGAGGACCAAGGACTTCTTTTCTTTCTGTTTAACATTTGTATTCTCAGCACTTATCACAATGCTTAGTGTATGGTAGGAGTTTAATAAATGCTGGCTGACTTGTTAACTTGGATTTGGGGGCAAAGCAGCAAGCATTTATTAAGCTCCTACTATGTGCTAGGCATTGTGCTAAATGCTGAACATACACAGAAAGACAAATATAGGCACTTACAATGGAATGGGCAGACGGCCTAGTTTCAAATTCTTGCTCTGCCATTTAATGCCTGTGTGAGCTTAAGCAGCTCACTCAATCTCAATTTCTTTAACTGTAAAATAAGGACCAGATAACCTCAAAGATCCCTTCCATATCTAAATTTATGATCTTCTGACAGTGAATACAGCACAATAATTATACTATTTTATATATTTTAAGATGCTAAGATTTCTTTGCCATTATAAAAATTGTGACAAATTATCCTTTTTATTAAATTGAGCTAAGAAAATTATCTACACAGATTGTCTTATGAAAAGTGGTGAGAGGGGCAGCTTGGTGGTGCAGTGGATAAAGCACTGCCCTGAAGTCAGGAGGACCTGAGTTTAAATCTGGCCTCAGACCAGACACTTGACACTTACTAGCTGTGTGACCCTGGGCAAGTCACTTAACCCCAATTACCAAAAAAAAAAGTGGGGAGGCAACTTTTTTTTTAAAAGGGGGAATGTTTTTATACTGAATTTAGAAAAAACTTTAATGGTCCTAAACTTTTCTCACTGAAACAAATGCCTATCTTTTAAACAAAATATTCTTCCAGTGATGCTGTGGGGCTATGAGTCATGAAAGATAGCATTGTTGAATAATTAAAATGAGGGCAACAACA